TCCACATGAGGAAACTGAGGCCAACAGGGTTAAGTGACTTACCCAGGGTCTCAGAGCTGGGAAGTGTCTGAGGCCGGATTTGAACTCGCAAAGGTGAGTCTTACAGACCGCAGTCTCAGTGCTCTATCCGCTTTGCCACCTAGCTGCCCTTATCCCAGGCACAGGGTATAGCTCAAGTAAAAGCCTGGAGGCTGGAGGATCCAATGGTGTTTCTAGTATGAGATGGAGAACATAGAATATGATATAGAGGGTTGGATAGGGAGTAACCCATCTTAATTGGGCTTAGAGTGGGTGGAGGAGAATAGGGGAAGTTGAGGCAGGAAAGATAAACTGGTGCCAGAATGTGAGGAGCCTTGAATATGTGGACTAATTTTGATGAGACTGCCTGGTACAATAGCTAAACCACCAGGCATGGAGTTAAGAAGAGTCAGGTTCAAAATTCTCCTAAAACAATGAGTAGCAAGGTGACACTGGATGAGTCATTTAACCTCTTTTGGCCCCATTTTCCATATCTGTAAAATGGGGTAATAACACCCACTTCCCAGGATTGCTGTGAGGACCCAATGAGATGTTACATGTAGAGCCCTTTGAAAACCTCAGAGCCCTCTGTAAATATTGGCCATTATGATTCCTCCAAGGACAAGGGCGAGTCACTGGGGTTGTTAGCAGATGATCTGAGAGGTCATTTTAGCACAATGTGCTCATTTTACTGATGAGGAAACTGAGGCCCAGAGAGATGAAACAATGTATCTGAAGACAGAAAGTGGGTAAATAGCAGAGCCTGGACTCTAGCCCGTGTCTCCAATGTCCACGATTGGTCTTCAGGACTAAGTCAGCCCTTCCTCTGTAGGAAAGGTCCTGTGTGGAGCCAACTGTCCCAGTGCATCTGAAGGAGGATTCATTTTCAAACCTGATTTTTGCAGAAATTGATTGGGCAAAGGGAGCCAGGTCTTTGCACACTGATGCCACATCCCTATCCCAGGAAGAATTCACACTCAGGAAAACAACCAGCACCTGCTATGTTGAACCCCAATTTCCCCTGATTTTCTGTTCACTCATATAGCCACCAGAGGGCAGCACAGAGGCACAAGGAACCAGAGACGTCTATAATTACAGAGGGAAAGGAACCAAACCCTAGGTCAGTATGTCTCCCCACTGCAATATTTGTCCAGGCTCTGCTTGAATACTTCCAGTGATAGGGAACTCACTACTTCATGAAACAACTCAATCCATGCTGGACAGCTGGTTGTTGGGAAGTTTGTGCTGAGCTGAAATCACTAGAATTCCCTAGAGCTTTGCCCTTAGTTTTCCATCCTGGGGCCAGACAGAACCAGTCTGATTGCCTTTGCCCCAGGACTGTCCTTCAGATATTTGCAGATGTGACCGTGACAGCCTCCAACCTAGTCTCTCCAATATTTCAGTGGTTCAATGGCCAATTTCATGCCCCCTCCCATTCTGGTCACGTCCTCTGGATGATGCCTCACTCTTTCTTTAAATGGGAAGCCTGTCTGGACACAGGACTCCACTGAGGTATGAACAGAGCAAAGGAGATTCATGACCTCCTTCCCACTGGACTGTGAACACCCCCAGCAGCAGCCTGACGTTCTCCATGAAGTCATGGGGAGGTGGCACAGGGTCCTAATTGGTTATACCAGCAAAGCTCAGTCCAAGAGGATCTAACAGGTGGGAAAGACTGAGATTATGGCCCCAGGGACAGACTGTGTATCTCGTGTGTGAGGACCAGCCCAGCTAAATCAGAGTCACTTAGCACAGGGTAATCACAGACAGAGAGACCTCTCAATCGTAGTCAGAAATGCTCAGACAATTAGACAAGGAATAGAGAGAGGGTTGGAAATCTCCATTAGTGGAGAGATTTTCCACACTAAGGAAGTTATGAATCCATAAAGTATTGAAGCAAGATGAGATTAATTTCTTTGGCTGCCTCATCACAAAATATTGACTTGTGCTGAGCTTGCAGTTCAATCAATAAGCATTTAATAGGCACTGCTTCATCCCAAGCATTGTGCTCAGGACCCCAATTTCTACCTGATTTGCTGCCTAATAGCCTCTCTGCCATACTGATTGGGGCTGGGAATCCTCTCCCAGGAGGGCAGCTCCTCAGGGACCAGGCTCTCAGGCTTAAGTGGGAGATACCATCCCCAGAGCAACTCAAAGAATATGGAACTTTGCTTCTAAGACCCTTCACCCTAAATGCCAGCTCCTCCAGCTGGAGAGCTTTGCTGTTGGCTGGCCCAGGTGACTGAGAAGGGTCATTAGTGAGGATGGGCCTCAATTCCTATAAGCAATGAAGAACAAAAGGTTCAGCTCCAGGGAATCTCAGAGACCCAGAGTTAGAAGAGGGCTGTCTATCCACTTGCAGACTCCCGGTGGTGATGGGAAATATACTTCTTCCTAGTGCAGCTCATGCCAGTTTAATTGGATGAAATAAATCTAATTGTCTCAGTCTCTAAATTTGGTGATATTTAGGTCTCAAAGGTAAGGTGGGTTCTCATAATCTCTCCCAGGATATCTATCAGCAATGACAGCCAAGAGCAGGAAAAAACATAGTCCCATCCAATAGTCAAGAACAAGTCATGACCTAGGGAATAAGAAATGGGCCCCTGTGGTTCCTGTTGGCTTCCCAGGCCAAGAATGACCCATGTCTGTTGAGTTAGATGTCCAGGTTTCCTGGTCTCGGTCTAGAGCAGAGTCAAGAGTATCAGGCAAGCCCCAAATGAACTCAAAGCCTTGGTGGGTGAGGATGGGAGCCAATATTTGCCCAGCTATGATCAGACACAAATCCTACTTCCTGGGGGATCCCTGGCCCCAAGAATCTGTGTCTTGCTGTCATTTTCCTTGGTTCCTCCAGGTGGCACGAGCAGGACATAAATGGCTCTGTCCCATTATCCCATTCACCAGGTCCCCCAGGGAGAGGGAGGAAGGAGTTCTCTCTATCCAACACCAGACCTCCCTCTAAGGGCAGCTGACCCTCAGTGGATCTAACGGCACCTGAGCCTCCCTAGGGCAATGGACAAAGCCCTTGCCAAGTGGGCCTGAGCTTCCTAGAGGGATCAGGGAATACATAGGGATGGAGGCTTAGACTCACAGAGCAGATGGAAGAGGAGAGGAGCTCACCACAAAGGTACCCTCAATGACCCTGCAACACAGGGCTCTGTATTCCCAAGATGCAAAGGCCATGTCCAACCAGGACATCCTTTAGAAACCTTCTATAGAGGTGGAGCAAGGAGCTGTGTTCTCCCCCAGAGTTACACATTTCAAGAGTCCCCTGGGCTGTACCTGAGGCAGAGGAAAGCAGAATGCTGGATTCTGGGTCAGAAGATTTGCATTTCCTTCCCACCTTTTCTGTCACCATGGACAGGTCACTACCCTCTTAGAATTTCTCTCTTCCATTGTCAAATCCATGATCTTGTGATTTCATCATTGTGTCTGGCCCCTTGACCCAGAATTCCTCTTCCTGTCATCCAAACCTCACTGATCTCTAGCCCTTGGCTTAATGTACTGAATCTTGGATGCCTGGTTCCCCCTTGCTTCCTGTGCAACCAAGGGCTAGTCACTTGACCACTCTGAGTATCAGTGTCCTCCTCTTCAACAGAGGGAAATATTGGCTGACTTTGCAGACTCACATGGCTGTTTGACCATAGCTCACCTTTAACTGCTTTAGAGAAATGGGCATTTTCCTGAGTGTTTCTTCCCTTATTGGGCCACAAGCTCCGGAAGGGGATAGGAGAATAGGACTTCTGCTCCTGTTCTTCTCAGTACTGAACTTGGACCATGTCTGGGCTTAATATTTGAGGAAATCCTGTGAGCTGCCCTCTCCTTCCTCCTTGTCACCCCTGGCTTCCTTCAAGGCCCAGCCAAAATCCCACCTTCCAGGATAAGTCTTTCCTGACCCCCCCCCACCCTTTAATGCTAACACCTTCTCTCTGAGATGTTCTCCAATTTGTCCTCAATTGATCTTATTGGTAGCCATGTGGTCTCTTCCATTGGACTGGGAGAGACTTTTACTTTTCTTTGCATCCCCGGAGTTTAACACAGTGCCAGGCATTTAGGAGGGGCTTACAAAGTGTTTATCAACTGACTAAGGTAAGCAAAGGTCCCTTGAGTCCCCACCCCTCCTCTGATCTCTACACTTCCATCTCAGCACCATTCCTGGCTTTTTAGCTCCAGGTCCTGTGCCCTCAGCCCTCCCTCCCCCCAAATGTGACTGGCCGTCCTCCTTTACTGTGCTAAAGCCTTTACAAATATGGTCTTATTTGATCCTCTCAGCAAGCCTGGGAGATCAGTGCTAGTATTGTCATTCCCATTGCACAGTTGAAGAAAATGAGGCAAATAGAGTTTAAGTAATTTGTCCAAGGTCACAAAACTAGATGTGTAAGGCTAGATTTGAAGTCCCCTCTTCTTGGCTCCGGACCCAGACCTCTCTTAATTGAACCACTCATCAAGTGGGGTTGGGGAGGGAGCATTGTTGGGAGTGTGGAAGGGGTCTGGGGAGACGAAGATGCCCCCTATGTACTCCCACTCTGGGGGAGGCTCCTCTGGTCTGCATAATCTTTATTCCCACTCCCCAGCCCTGTTGCACCCTCCCAGCAGCCACAGTGAAATGCCTGAGGAAGGGCAAAGGCACTCTGGGTTGGCTTGAGAGGGGAGGGAGACTCAGCAGTCTGGGTCCTAAAGGCCCCAAATAGGGATCCAAGCACATTCATTGCCTCTGCCCACCATTCTCTGTGTGCATTCTGGGGTCTGAACAGTCTCTACTCTGGAAGGGAAATAAGCAAAGGGGTCAGGTGTCAGCACAACTGGACAGTAGGTAACACTGAGTGACCCTTGTTCCCCTTGAGGACAGAACCACTTCTCCATGGACAGTGGGAGGGATCTGTGCAGGGGAGGGGCTCCCTGGGAGAGGCAGGAAACCGCAGCAGCTGGGAGGGGAAGAAAGAGGAGGAAAGGGGAGGGAGGAGAAAGTCAGGGGCCAGGTCCCTGCCCTGTGGGGCCCATGTGACTCTGGCAGATAGAAGAGCTCCAGCCCTGAAGAGAGAGACCTCAGTCCTCTAGGGAAGGAGGAGACAGAACCGACACGGCTTTGGGCTGCACACAGAGACAGCCTTGAACGTGGTCCCCAGCAGGGACACCTCCAGGGTCTGCACTTGGCCTCTCTACCGAGAAGACACAGCTCAGGAGGGGAAGGCAGTGGACATCACAGACCTATGGAGAGCCCCTCACAAGCTCCCCACAGTGGGAGCAGCCTCTGGAAGGGCTTCCTGCTCACAGGTGAGACACCAGCTCTGCTGGGGCTGGGGAAGAGAGGGAGCTTGGGGGATTCAGACTCGGATATAGGCAAGTGAATGAACATAAGAACAGGAGGAAGGAGACTTGTCCCGTTGGGGGTGGGGGAATGGGGTCTGTCCCAGAGACAGTCTCTGCAGACTTGGCCAGGCCAGTCTTCCCTGAGCCAGGATCAGAGGGGGAAGTAGCCGCTCAGGGCCATCAGTCCACATCCTGGAGACTCAGGGCAACGTCCGTTCCTGGAGCTGAGCAATCTCTGAAGAGGCTAAGGGAGTCGTTACAGGCAGAGGAGACCTGGGTGTGGATCCCAGGTCTGATGTTTACCAGCTGTGTGACCGTGGACAGGTCACTTACCCCTCTTAGCTTCTGTTTGCCTGGAGCACCACCTTCCTTGCAAAGCTGTTTGGGAGCTAAACTCTGTCAGCCATAAAATTCACAAAAGGTTAAGTGAGAAAGGCTCTCCCTGGGTTTGGGGTCAAAAGATCTGGGTTCAAATGCTGCCTTTGCCATTTCCTATTCAATTTTGGTCACATGTGTTGCCGTATCTGGGCCTCAATTTCCTTCATTGTAAATTAAGGGTATTTGACTCAGGGATCTCTAAGGTTCTGTCTAGGGCTAAAATCTGATTTCTGTCTTCAACCACAACACTTTATTGCTTCATTTCTCCCTTCAATGTCTTGCCTACCACACCGGCACATCATGTCTTAATCAAGTCTATGGAGGGAGCCAAAATTTGTTATAAACCAAACTTTCAGATCCTCTGCAGAGATTGGGACTGACAGACTGGTGTGCAGGAACATGAATCCCCTTCATACATACCCCACTGAGCCCCCAGCAGACACTGAGGCAGGCTTAGCAACTCTCACCCTTATCTTGGGGACAGCTCAGTGACCTGGGCCCTCAGGAGAGCAGGGGGACCCTACTGACCTCTGCCTCCTTCCTCCCCTCTCAGCCTCCATCCTCAGCTGCTGGATCCAGCCAACATCTGCCCAAAGTGATTCCTTCAGTGTTGTGCCAAACCCTCCATATGGGACAGTGGGCAGCAGCGTCATCCTGGACATCCAGGGGCTCTCACAGCAGCCTGCCAGCTATACTTGGTACAGAAAGGCAGTAATGACCTCCAACCGGATAGCTTTCTACCGTGTTGCTAACGGACAGCTGACAGCATCAGATAGCAGGCTGAATGTGTCCTCCAATGGCTCCCTGAGCATCTCCAACCTCACTCTCAGTGACACTGATGACTACTTCGTACAATTTGTTGATCCCACAAGTACTGAAATAGTAACAGCACAAGGACATTTAGCCGTCTATGGTAAGTGCTGCCTTTCCCATGGGCCATGCCGTCACTCCAATACCCTCCCTCAGTCTGGGGCCAGAGCCCTTCCCTAAGTTCCTTACCCAGGGAGCAGGTAGAATGCAGAACATAATCCACCCCCTAAGAGAGGAAACTAAAGAGGTGAGAACCTCCCCAAACCCAGACCGGCCTAGTTAAGGGTCACAGAGAGCACAGGAGAGTTCAGAGGTCCCTAGCTACTGAGGCCCTAGGCACTTAGTATTTGGAAGTTGACTTCCTTCTTCCTCCCAACTTTCCCAGGCCATACTGTGAAACTAGGAAGGGCCACTGAAGGCTTTGGAGGGGGCACTTGGCCCCCTCCAGTGGCTGAGGCAGTTAACCTGTTCAGGATGTTTACCTTCCTCAAGACATATAAAAATCCATGAGGCAGAGGAACATTGCTGGGGGGGAAGGCCCAGCAGAGCTCAAGTCCAGACCACCCACTCCCCAAGAGCCAGAAGTCTGGCTGTCTGGGTGCCTGGGACCACCCGGATGCCTGTGCTTTCTGAGGCTCTCAGTGCTGGGGGGAGGACCCCAGAGGGAGGATACCTGTATTTCCTCCATTTTCTAGAGGAAAGTCCAAGACAAAGGGGCCCAGGCTGCACTGAAGGGACAGCCTGGGACAGAGGGTCACAGCTCTGCTGAGGTCTCATCTGGATGGGGAGAAGACAAATTCAATATGAGGAGCAAACAGACCATCTGGACCTCCCAACTGGGGCAACTTTCCCAACCAGGAGAGATTTCCAGTTGGGCAATGGCTAACAAGAACTATCATTTATATAGTGCCTGGAGGTGTGCAAGGTGCTCTATGTATCATATTTCATTTGATTCTCTGAAAGACCCTGTGACATAGGTGCTATTTTAATAAATGAGGAAAATGATCCGAAGAGAGATTGAGTGACATGGCCAGAGTCACACAGCTAGTCAGTAGCTGGGGCAGGATTCGATTTCGGGCCTTCCTGACCCCCGTGTCCCACATTGCATCCACTGCACACCCTAGATGCCTCCCACCATGGAGGATTACCTCAGGGGAGAGTGACCTCCCCAGCACTGGGAATCTTCAACAGAGATTAGATGGCCATTTACTAGGGATGTTGGACTTGGGGGCCCCCATCAGGCCTGGGTTGGCCAAGATGACCCTGAGGCCCAGAAGCAAAGCTAGTTCTAAGGTTATATGGTCGGGGATGGGGGTTGGCGGGGGCAATGCCAGGGAACAGCCCAGAATTTCCAGGGCTTTCTTCCATGGTGTGCCTTCTGGAAATTGCCCTAGGCATCTGTCTGTGGCAGGATGCATTCAAAGTTTTCAACGTGAGAGGCAGGAGCCCTTCTGCCGTTAGAAGAGGGCCCTTCTGGTCATCCCTCAGCTCCTGGGCAGAGGATATTGTGAGAGGAAGGACCTAGGAATCGTCAATCCATTGACTGACAACCATTTGTTAGGCACCAACTACATGTATAAGCACTAGGCTGGGTACGGGGCATAAAAAGCCAAAAAGAAGTGAGTCGCTACCCTCAAGGAGCATGCATTTTATTGAGGAAATATGTAAACATGTATGTGGAATAAATATGAGAAGAATAGGAAACAGTCCAAGACTGATGATTTCCTGGGCAGAGGCAATTACTAGAGGAGGCAACCCCTCCACCAATGCAGGCTGGCTCCTTCTGCTCAAATCCTGGTCTTGCACAGTTCTCCTGGGCACTAAGAGGCAAAGTGGCTTGCCTAGTGTTAAGGAGCTGGTATGTGTCTGAGGCAGAACTAGCACCCAGGTCCTCTTGGCTCCCAGGCAGACCCTCCAGTTAAATACAAGGTCATTAGGATGGAGGGCACTAGCAGATGATAGCATCAGGAAAGGCTTCCTGGGCGAGGTCCTGTTAGAGGGGCCATATTGAAGGAAGAGAGGGGGAGGGCAGGGGGAGAGCATCCCAGGCTGGGTGGGGGTAGGAGGACATGGCTCCCCTCCTCAGCACAGGACACTGCAGTGGCTGGGACCTGGGAAGGAAGCTCAGCCCACTGGACTCTCTGAGGAGGCTGGGAAGAAAGAGGGCACCAAGAGGACCCAGGGATAGGAGGTAAGACAAGGAACTCTTGTGGGGCCAAGACTGCCTCAGTTCCCCTGCAGAGTCTTCTCAGACCTGGAGGCAACAGAAGATTGGG